GGCCTTGAAACCCTATTCTAATGGGGCTCCTTTTCACTATGGCAAAATGGGCACTCCAACAGTCTCAGGAGCTGGTGTCCAATGCAGTGGCGCAGCTTTCCGGAGGAGAGGGGCTAAGCTGCCAGGCAGTCGCTGTGGTCGGCGCAGAGCAAGCCAGGTCGGAGTGGCTGCCCTTGCAGAGAGAGATGTGGAAGGCGAACCCAAATTCCGTGGGCAGCGGTGAGGTGACATGGGAAGGAATTTGGGAATCGACCGGTGTCCTGAATCTCTGCATTCCTTCCGATACCCAGACAATCACGGTGGAATTGTGGCTTCCCGGCCAGAAACAAGCAATGGCGACTGCTAACATCCGCAGGGGCGCCAGCAGGCAAGCTTGGAAGTTAGACAGTGGAGGCTTTCTGGAGGCTGAAGCAGATGCAGGTGGCAAACGCAAAGGCAACAGGATGTCAGCCAGGATGTCGTCCCTAGATTCTGGCGACAGGCTCAAGTTCATCACTCCCCAGCCGGGCACCATCACCAAACTTATGAAGTTGTTCAGGGTGCGGGATGAAGCGGCCAAGGTGGTGATGGCTCGAGACCTTGCCAGCGCACTGAAGACGACGATGCACAAGCATAAGCACCTCCAAGTGCCCCTGGAGCAGACACAACTCGAGGAAGTGATGCACAAGCTCAAGGATGTCCATTCCGAAGCCTTTGAGACCGAATCGGTGATCCATCCGAAGAAGTCGGGCTCCCATGGGCCTTCGATCATGCCTTGGAAAGGATTCCTGAACTGCTTGCTGCTGGAGAAGCTGCCGGACTACGCAACGGATCAGCTCGGCCTCCGTTTGTTCATCATCCAGAAGTGCTTGCTTGGTGATGACTGCCCTACCAACATGACCTCCCAGGTTCTCATGCAGGCCTACGACAAGGCCGGGACTTCTTTAAAAACTCCCAGGGTGGTGGGGGAGGACATGACCCTATGCACTCTGTGACAGGTCAGAAAGCCTGTCACGCATTGGGAGAGAACCGTGCTGCTTGTGACCGCAGTCTCCACCTTTTTGATTGCATGCAGCTTCATTGCGACAGGCAGGACTTTGCAGATAGTGGGTGACTTTAGTGCTGTTGTTGATCAAGGCATCCGAACCATCTGACTCATGGTGAAAAAAACATTGTACGCCTTGCGGATTGTTCACAGGTGTGAAGCGTTGTGAAGTCAGAACTCCTGCTTAGCAGGCTAGCACGATGAAAAGAATGGGTGTCTATGGTGGGTGATCTTTCCGGTTTCAGACGCACATTTGTTTGGGACATTGTTTCAGAACTGCGGTCGTAGCAATGTTCGCAACGCAGAACAAGCTAGTGTTATCGTTTGACCGGCCAAAGGTACGCTGCCTCACAAGTCGACCTCAAATACCGAGCGATGTTGAATTCTACTTGTGCCATGACCCGGGGCAGCTATGAAGTATGTTTCGCTAGGTCTTCGCTCCGGATTTCGTGAGGGTATTTACATATCTGACACGTGTCATCTGCATGGCAAACACAGGCCCAGACACAGACATGCACACACAAATTCACTCACGTAAGACCAGACACACATAGACACACACACACACAACAACAACAACAACAACAACAACAACAACAACAACAACAACAACAACAACAACAACAACAGGCCTTCCTTTGCAGGCTCATGGCCATAGCACAGGCACAAGTTTAAATGGGTTGTGTTGACAATGCTAGTGACTTCCATGCACTTGGTTAACATCCTGCAGTCCTAATCTTTCGATAGGTTCAAGAGCTCAACTGAAACCCTAACTTCGACCAAGCTTCACAAGAATAACCAAGTCTCTATCTAATTAGAGAGTACCCAGTGCGGCAGGTGTCTCCTTGGACTATTCGCCCAACTGGAGTGGATGGTTCTATGTGGACACGGGCTTTGCCGTCATGTTCGTGTTCGAGGCCATGGCACGATCATGATGATGTTCATGTGGATGGTTGTAATCATAAAGGGGCAACTATTAACTAGATCGGTTTTAAGGGCAAACGGATGACGGCCATATGTGCATGCAGCTCACGACCATGATCACTTTGCATGTTTGATGTTGCTCGTTTACCTTCAGTGCTGTCATTGATGGAATTTGTTGATAATATTGATTGCTGCTGTAACGACCACTTCATCAGATAATGTTGTGAGTTGAGTTCCGCTGCAATGGTAGCGCTGAGATGTATATGGTGAGTCCTACCACCGCTACCAGTACTACAACTACAACAACAACAACAACTACTACTACTACTGCTACTACTACTACTACTACTACTACGACGACGACGACGACGACGACGACGACGACGACGATAACAACAACAGCAACAACAACAACTACTACTACTACTACTACTACTAGTATACTACTACTACTACTACTACTACTACTACTACTATATTACTACGTCGACAACGACGCCTACTGCTACTGCTACTGCTACTGCTGCTGCTACAACTGCTACTGCTACTGCTCCTGCTGCTGCTACTGGTACTGCCACATCTACTGCCACTG